TTGTTACGCCAGCCTGCTTCACTCCGCCTGGCAGCATTTGGGTTTGCAGCCCTTAAATGACAGTCTCCAAGTCCTCCCCAGATTTAAGAGTCCCTCTAGCAATGCCAGGGAAAGAATACGATGTTTTTCCAACTGCAGGCATGTTCAGTCTGTTATGGACTCAGTGTTCGGGTCCTCTCGAAAGTTGTACGTTGGAGCCCCAGTCCCATAGGAGGTGTGATCTACGGCAGGTAACTCAGTTTCGGTAAGATTGGGAGAATGGGGTTCTCGTGGGGGAATTAGTGCTCTTATGAGAAGAAAGGCAGTTTTCTCTCCTCCCCCCTCCGCTCCCGTGTGAGGACTCAGCAAGAAGACGGTCATCGATGTGTAAGCCAGGAAGTGCAGTCCCATCAGGACTGCTGGCCCCTGGTCCTGGTCGGAGCTTCCTCTGGCTCTGTGGGAGAGGAGAGGCCTGTCTGGAAGTGCAGGGAGTGCTAACACCCCTGCAGCAGCCGCCCGTGCATGGGACTTGGTGGGTAATTGCCCCAGGCTCTCCTCCTGGCTCCAGGGAGCTGGTGCTGGGCCGTGTTCCAAGTGGCACCTGGCAGAGTCCCCACTGGGCTGGAGTTCACCACAGGAGCCCACTCACTAATGTGCCCTTGATTGTCTTCTCTCTCGTCCCTGCTCCCTCATTCCTGCTTCATGAGATCACCCCGAAACAAACCCCCTGCACCCACACGCTCAGCTCAGCCCGGCTTTTCTGAGCACCGAACGAAGACAAGAGATTCTACACTCCTCACAATGACCACATGGACTTCCTGCTTTGGGGGCAGCTCATTCTATGCGATGACCGAGGGCACTGGTGACAGGGGCCTTTGAAAAGCTCCAGGACAGACAATGGCACTTCTAATACATGTTCAAGAGGAAAACTCGAGTCGAAGTAGAACGGATACATTTCTAATGACAGCAAACAGTCTCCTGACTGCCTTTAAATGCGGATCACTCGTAACAACTTTAAGTTCTATGAGTAAGAGTTCGGGAGGCCTTAGTATGTCCCTGGAAACTCTGCTAAGTTTTGTTTTGTTTTTTCACAAATGCAAAATGCATATATGTCTTCGAGAGCCTTCTAGGGCTAAAAGAAAAAAAATCCTATGTTGGGATTCTCACTGCTCTTTGGGGTGCCTCCCCAACTCTAATGGACCTTCCCTTAAATTTGTTTCACCCACAATCAGATGGAAATTTCTAGATTCCAAAACCAGTAAAGTCATAGGTTTCCTCCCACTGCTACTCTCTCTCTCTCTCAAGTGTCACATCTGGATCCTGTCCCCATACTTTCGGTCCCTTGCATGAAGGCAGACACCTTCTGTGTCATGGGCTCCAGCGGGCAAGTTCGCTGAGTGGTGAGGAGGTGGGGGTGGGAGGGTGGGGACAGAGAGGGCACTTCCCTGAGGCAAGAGGATGGCTTAGGGTGAGAGATGCACCTCATCTCCCACTTGGTGAGGTGCAAAAACAACCTCCAAACGAGGCAAAGGCCCATTACAACTTCCCTCGTCTTTATGTGGACAGAAGAGCAAACCCGTGACTCCTTAGTGAACATAGTGAGGTCCACATTTCAAAGAGCCTCCCAGGGGTCGCAGGCAGGGGCTGGCCTGTGTTCCTGAAAATTCCCTGCCCCTAGCCCCTCTCCCCACGCGTCCTTCTCCGGGCACGGAGCCCCTCCACGACCTGCTGTGTGTGCTACGTGTAATGCTCAGGTAGGCTCGACTGCCCGTGGGCATGGACGCTCCAGGAGCCCAGCACCCTGGTCCGCCTTGCTCCCCATTCCATCTCAGCAGTGTCTGTCAACAGCAGGTGTCCGCTGCGGGATTAGCCTGAAATCAGACGAAGCCTTAGGGTCAGGTGGTTTATTTGGGAGCCGATCTCGGACAGCAGAAGAGAGGAAAGGAGAAGAGTAAGACAGGGAAGGGCGGAAAAGCCAACTGAAGCTGTACTTCCGGGCTGAGCCTCTGTTGGGACTGGGCTTTGAAGCAAAGAAGGGCAGAGCGGCGCTTGAGGGGGCTCGAGGCGAGAATGCTTTGTGAGCACCTGCCTGGCCACAGCTGGAGCCGGAGGTGGGATGTGCGGCTGATCGGGGCAACGGGTACCAGAAGTACCTGCCTCAGGAGGCATCAGACACATGCTTTTTAGAGAATGGATGAATTTTCCCTAATGCAGATGGGCGTGTGCATTACAGGGAACCTGTGAGCCCCAGCCCAACTCGCTTTAGAACAGTGGTCAGAGCTCTTAGTATCTACCGATCCATTAGGGAGAAAAGCTCATTACTATGGTCAAGGACTCCAGACCCCTTTTAATTTTTATTTTCCCAGAGGGTCTTTGATAACAGGGCCTTGCTCACAATTCCCATTCCTGGAAGGGATGCGGCTACAACTTTGCTGTAACGAGAAAAGGCCCAACGCGTGAGCCCTCTTCCAGCTTCGACAACCGACAACTGTCATTTCCGGCTTCTCCCCGTAGCACTTCTGGCCCCTTGGCCCCTCCTCGTCTGGGTCTGCACCAGCTGCCTTTCTGCCACACACACCTTCTTGCTGTCAGGCCTCAGGGTCTGCCTAGAGGAGCCCACCCATTCTACCTGCCCCCCAGACCCCCAGGGACTCCCAGATACCAGCCACCCACCAAAGACTCTGCTCCACACCTCCAGTGCCTCTCCGTCTCAAGTTCCACCTCAGGGTCAAGTTCCCAACCTCCTTCCGGACCATCCGTGTACAGTAAACTCAATCCTACCATTGGACCCATCACCTAACCCCACCCCATAGCCCAAACCTGCTTTTCCTCCTGAATTTTCCTTCTGAATTGGGTGATGCTCCACTAGCTGCCCTGGTCTCCGAACCCGGAACCTCAAGGTCAGCTTCAGGCCCCTGGTCTCAGTCTCCATCAGTTTCTCAAACACCAGCAGGTTAACAGTGGCTCTCCCTGGCTGATGGATTCATTCTTCTTTTCTCTACTTTTGCTTTCTGAATTATTTCTGATGAATGCATTATGTTCCCAATGGCTTTTATCATATTGAATATGATGATATATTCATATTGTATGTTGTATCATAATGAACAGGCTTCATAATGGTTTCTTATCCTAAATACAACTCTCTCTCCATCCCTCCTGCTCCTCCCAGGCCCCCTCACCAGGTCCTGACTTCCTGTCCCCCCTCCCCTTCCTGGGAGCACCCTCCCCAGCCCCCCACACCACCGCCAGGCTCCTCCTGGTAAAACCCAAACATTTCTGTGGGATCATCTCCCTCCAGATACAGCCAAATCACCTGGGGGTGTTCGTGTATTCTGCTGCCTCCTTACAGTGTCCGCCGGCTCATGCAGTGCCCCCAGGGCCTGGCCCAAAGCGAGTGCTCAGTCAATGCTGGTTAAATGGGTGGAGCGAATGTCTGTTAACTGGTTCTCCGGAGGGAAGGCCGAGGGCAGGGGCTCCCCGAGTGTGTGTTGTGGGGAGACCAGCAGCAGCGGGGGGGCGGCTGGGAACTTGCTGGAAGCGCCGGTTCCGGGCCCCAGGTCCCACCTACTGAAAGGGAAGCTGGGGCTTCTGCTCTGTGGCACGTTTATGTTTCCAGACTTGTCTTGGCTGCCGTCACAAATAAAACGAATTTCCCCAACTGACAATACAAACCTTAGCAGCCTCGTGGGAAAAACCACTGGAAGGCATTTAATCAGCTGCAGATAATGGTGCCTCGGGGTTGCAGGAATGCAGCAGCTTCTCGGGTTTAGAGCGGGGGCAGTAAACAGAGGTGTCTCCTCGCCAAGCTCCCCAGGCGCCCCCACAGTCCCCCCATCCCGGTACCCCACAGCCAAGTACAGGTTACAATTTTGAAGGAAGCACTCCAAATCTTTTTCGAGGGAAAGAAGGGAGGAAGTCGAAGGTGCCGGGATGGAACGCGGGGTGCGCAGCGACCCTCAAGTCCCAGACCGGGGCGTCGCCATCGGTGAGACGCGGCTGGCAGAGCCCGTGCAGGGACGCCGAACGCGAGCCCGGCCAGCAGCAGACTTATGAGCGGGGACGGGTGCAAACCCCCAGCGTTCGCTGGCTCGGGTCGCCCCGCTGCAGAGCCAGAGGTGCAAGCGCAGGACAGGGCGCTCCGGTGACTCGGGGTGTGTCCTGCCGGCTCCGGGAGGGCGAGTGGAGAGGTGTGAGGTCTCGTCTCCAAACTGAGCCGCCTGAGTTCCTGCGGGACGGAGCGGGGTGTGAAGGCTTGGGCGCTCGGGGAGGGTGGGATGCGCGGATGCCGCCGTCACCGGGGAACCGAGAAGGGGGTCCTTGGCGACGCTCGCTGGCGCCACTCGGCGGCGAGAAGCCTCGGGCGCCGCGGGCAGGAGGTAACTGGCCCCGCAAGAAAACTCAGCTCTTCCCCAAACTCTGAGCGAAGCTCGAAGGTGTCACCCTCGTGTTACAGCTGCGTGAACGGAGGCCCAGCTGTGGCCACAAGGTCTCGCTGACCCGGGAACAGCTGCTCTGGGGATCCTGGAGCTGGGAAGAAAGTGAAATCCCCTCCCCTCTGCCCCGGAGACCACTCCTTGGTCCGGGGACCGGCGGCAGCCGGGGACGCTCGGGAGGGGCCGGCACACCCTCCTTCTCAGAGTGACCCTTTGCGGACACCGAGCCCCGCCCAGTGTCCCCCCAGTTTCCTTTCCGGCCCCTCGAGTCCCCAAAGCGGGCAGTTTCCATCCCAAAGGAGCGCCCTGAGCCCCGGTTTCCGGCCCTGGACATCTCGGTGCTGGATCCACGCGGGGAGCGGGACGGAGCGCGGGGGAGGGCGCTTCGGGCACAGGGAGGGGGCGGGGCGGCGGACACCGTGGGGAGGGGTTAGCCGGGTCTCACTGCGGCTGTCGCCGGGGCTGCCGCCCTCCGAGCACGTGCTGCCGCCGCTTTGCGTCAGCGCTGGGCCCGGAGGTGACTGGCCGGCGGCGCCGGGCGGGGCTATTTAAGAGGCCGCCGGCCCCTCGCCCCTGGAACTTGGCTGGGCTCCCCGCTGCCCTGGTGCAACTGCGAAGCCAGCGGCTCCTGCCCGGAAGGTAGGTCCCCCCTCTCCGCGCTCGCGCGGGGAATCCATGGGTCAGGCGTCCTTCCATTTTATTTTTCTGTTTTCCCTGCCTTCGTTCCGACTACCGAAAGCGGTCTCTTACAGTCGGAAACCCCGGGGAGAGCTGGCCTGGGGACTGGGGTGTTTGAGCAGTTTTGCTCTTAGGCGCACAGCCCTGGCGCGTTTGTTTGCTGGGACGAGCTCGCGCACTGGGATTTGTTCGCTAGATGTTACACAGAGGTGCAGTGTACTTCAGTCTTTTCAAATAAACGACCAAGAGGCTTTAAGATCAAGTTCATCTTCTAAATGTTGCAGCACAGTTCTTTAGGGATCAGTGTTTTTTTTTTTTTTGGGGTTTTTTTTGCCCGCGGTTCTCAGATACAGCGCAGCTTTGCCAACCACCGAGAGTCGAGCGCATTATTTCTGATTTTCCCCCAAACCCTGCCTGTGTTTTGCGTGGTGGTTTACTGCCAAGTCCCATCTGCATCCTGAAGAAACGGTATAAATACGGCTTTTACTTATTGCTCCCGCGTTGTAAAGAGTGCTTCTTTTCCGCACCATTTATTTCCCTATCGAAGGCTTCTTTGCTATCTGGGAAGGTGCTAGTCTTCCCCAAGGGTCTCGTTTCTCCCACCTAGTCTTTCCTCTAGGAAATCTCCGCCTGTCTTTCATCTGTTTCTTTGGCAGTTAGGAGAAAGAGATGCTCTGCAAACACCCCGCCAAACTAAAGGGACGGAGAAGACATCCCTGCTGCTAAACGGGGCAGAAGACAGGGTCTCGGTCGCTCCCTGGCACATCCAGGGTGTGGTTCGACCGACACACAAGCCGGTGCGTCCCGCATGCGCTTCCTGTGGCCGCACGGCTCAGGTTTGCGCTCGGGCCAGCCCTGGTGCTTACACCCACCTGGAGGGTGTGGAGTCCCGCGGGCTTGGACTGAGCCCCCTTCTCCGTGCCCAGGGCGCCCCGACCTGCCGCGAGGAGACACAGCTACCGCGCCTTTTCATTCACAGTGGCTCCCCTTTGCTCCCCGCAGCCATGAACAGTGGCGTGTGCCTGTGCGTGCTGATGGCGGCCCTGGCGGCAGGCGCCCTGGCGCAGCCCGTGCCCCTGCCAGACTTGGGGGGCCCTGCGGCCCAGCGGGACCAGGAGGCGACCCGAAGGCAGCTGAGGGCAGTGCAGAAGCTTGACGGCGAGCCCCGAGCGCACCTGGGCGCGCTGCTGGCCAGATACATCCAGCCGGCCCGGAAAGGTACCGATGGCGCGGCCCCATCCCTCACTTCTGCCCCTGCGCGGGGCTCCCAATCTTGACCCTGTTGTGTCTGGCCCGTGGAGGTGGGTAAAGCCTCAGGAGGAAACACGGGCGACACGTTAAACGGAAAGATTTTTCACTTTTTTTCTCGAGTTGTACTGCATCGGGCTATGCAGCTTCCTGGACGTCCTTTGTAGCAAACTGAGAGAGAGAGTGGAGGGCTTATTAGTAAGGGAAACCCTTTTCAAAAGCTTTCTTTAAACTAATTTTTGGTACAGTGTTGCTGTTCAAGTGTGACACTGTATTATGGAGACGCTAAAAGATAATCCCTGAACAAATTTCCGACTCACAAAGGGCTCAGGAATGCTCTAAACATTCTCTTCTGTAAATGCAAGGGAACCAGGAGCCACGTGGTCTCTGGTACTTGGGAGCCCTCCGGCAGGAAGCGATCGGTGCTGGGAATGCTTGCGCACTGACTTCCACAGTTTAAAAAGAAGTGACATTGTGTCAGTTTTCACAGGAGTCTGTAACAGGAGGAAAGAATCAGTAACAGTTTTGAGTTCTTGGCGGTGATTTACCGTAATTACCCAACAAGAGCCGTGTTTGTGAGTTTGCTCTCTGGGAGAGAAGTTCCCGACTGCAGCAGGAGCAAAGTCATTGTCTAGGAAGAAGGTGGTCCAGCAGCTCACTAGCTGAGAGGCTTACAGACACTCTGTCCCTTCCCTGGGTCCGACTGTCTCATCTGCAGAGAGGGGAGGAGGCTCCAGTTTCACGCTTGGTGTGTTAGCAGAGAGGCTCATCCATCTCCACGGTCCTAAGGAATGGGGACCAGGACTGGGGCAGGGGCAGGGGTGGGTTTTTTCCATCAGTTTCGTCCACAGTGACACTGCTGGGGGACACGCCATTCTGGGGGGGCAGGGTGCCACACTGGGCCCATGCGGCTGGGCAATAAAACCACAGCCGACACTGCTGGGGGGGGCGGGAGGTGGGCTGCTTTCCACGAGGCTTTCTTAACCTGCCATGTGCCCAGGGCCCGCATTGGAACGGTGGCTTCTGGCTTGATCAGACAGGGAGGGAAGGCAGGGCTTGCCTCTCGAGAGTCTCACGTGGTTTCCCGTGAAGGTGAGACGGGGACCTTCCCAAGCAGGCGATTTCAGAAGAAAAGAACGGAAGACGATTGGCTACATTCCTTCCTTTCTTTGGAAAATTGTCCCAACGACCTCTTCTGTTTTACTTCCCTGCTCATTAAGTGGAAAGAGGTGGAAGTTACCAATCAGAAGACAAAGCCCCAAAACTTTTGAGAGTCCTAGTGGGTTGTCCGCTGAAAGTTATTTAAATATCTGTCCTTGGACGTGGGTTGAACTTCAGCCAGGCCAGTCGGAACTATCCCTGGCTTTTCACTGAGCCACAGTCTGGGACCTCCTCCCCACCAGCAGGGAAGATCTGTAGGGACCAGCTCCGGGAAGGAAGTCAGTCACCAAACCATTTCCCTAGAACTGACGCTTAACAGAGGCTTCATACCACACATCTTAGCTGGAATCATATCCTTCTATTTGACAACCGTGAACCAAGAATGCATGTTTACCCACATAAGTTCTGTACAGTTTCTTCGACTCTTTGACGTAGTTTGAGATCAAATCAGATTTTTTTTTAACTCTCCTGTAGTAGATATTATGCTTTAAGATTCCAAATGAGATGAGACACTCTCCGGGCAGTGCTCAAGGGTTTGACATTAGAAATTGTTTGTAGAACTTTCAGTGACTTGAGGAGAAGCATCCCCTGGGGGGGGCGGGGTGACCAGGGGGCACCTGCCCTGCACCCAGCAAAGCCCCCATGCCTCCCGCCTCTCTTCATCCTCACCACAGTCCTGCACGGTAACCCCTAGAGTCTTCATCTGGTCAATGTGGAAGCGGGGCTTCCAGAAGAGTGCGTGACCTACACGAGGCCGCACGTCTAGGATGGGGACGCGGAGTGTGTAACAGATGCGGCCTCCCTGGCTGAGCACAGCGCCCCCACCAGCGCCCGAGGCTGCGGGCTTGCAGCACAGCTGACGCAGTCTCCCCGTCCCTGGAACTTCCGGCTGCGCAGCGCCTGCCCGCAGCGTGGGCGTCATCGTCCTGCGACAGGAGGGTGGGCCCTGCGTAGTTCCAGGGCTGTGTGCTTCGCGTAGTGGGGTCTGCAAGTTTTACAGAACATTACGACTAATAGGGCACCTGAAAGGGGGCGCTGGGCTGTTAAGCAGCGGGGGCTGCTTTTCCTCTGCACAGGCCTGGAATGTGCTGGGGTGACTGGTAGTTCCAGGTGGGAATGAGTTGTGGCGGGGGGCTGTGTATCATGGTTGCTGGTTTTCAGTGCAGCTAGCTTTCTCTGATGGTCTCAGAGTGCCTGCCTCTGCTGTGTGGTTTATCGATAAATAAGCCATAGTTTGTGCACAGCCTGTGTGCAGGAGCTGGCAAGGGCAGCCTCATGCCAGCATCACAAACAGTGGGGACCACTGAGTGGTCCTTTGTCCCTCTACTCTTGCGGCCTCCTAGGCCGTGCCTACTGAGGTCCCTGAGGGGCTTTTCTTGCCCCTTAGTTTGCACAAGAGAGGCTTTATCCTGATTTTCTACCCAGGGGGCCACTGGCTGCGGTCTCTGGGCTAGGAGCATGTCGCCTGCTTCTGAAGAAGCCACTGCACCGTGTCCCTGCTCACTGAGTGTGGTCATACACGGAGGCGCAGCGAGAATCATCCTGTTCCTAAGAACTTAACTCCCATCTCCAAGGGCCCATTTCAGTTCCAGTTATCGCATTTTGGTGCAGATGACTGAATTAAATTACCTCTTTATTACCTGTCTGCCCGTGTTTGGATGTTCCTGACATGCTGGCGTTGGAATCTGACAGTGTGCCTTTTCCTTAATGTCACTATCCCAAAAAAAAAGGGAGCTTTCAGATGAATAATTTTAAAGCAGTTCTTGCCTAGCCTTAGGACTTGATTCCTTTTTTTTTTTTTAAACCACTCCAACATCAAAATATTGTCATCAGATTACACGAACAAGAGTCAGGCATGCTCAGGGGTCGTAGGAGGTGAATGACAGAGATAGGTAAGTACCGGGAAGTCCTTGGTTGGCCTCCGCCGAGGGTCTGCTACATGAGGGGAAACGCCCCCTAGGAGGGGAGAACCTAGGCAGGTGCCAGCTGGGAGGAGCTGGGGTCAGTGAGCCCCTCTCCTCCGTACAGAGTCGGGACCGCAGGGACAACCAGCAACCCGGTTATGCGGACTGGGCCCTCCGCTTCCCGTAGGTTCTGGTCTGGCTCTCACCCTCACCCTCTCGATAGCCCTGTGATGACCTCGATGCACCACGCACATCACCGGGCTTACGTCGTTGTCCTTCCCCTTCACAGATTGAACTGGCGATGGTCTAGTTATAACAGCTCCTTTGCTTTCCTCTCTGCCCCCAGCAGCTCCTTCTGGCCGAATGTCCCTGATCAAGAACTCGCAGAACCGGGACCCCAGATACAACACAGGTGACCGGGACTACATGGGCTGGATGGACTTCGGCCGGCGAAGCCTCGAGGAGTATGAGTACCCCTCCTAGGGCCCTGGCCCCCCTCAGTGCCCCGGCAAGCACCCTCCTGACTCTCGGGGGCAGAAAAACAACACAATCACACTCATAACTATAGTCTGTGAAGTTGGGCATTTTCAGTGTCTATTTATCAAGTTCTCAATGTGAAAAGTCTGTAGGTCGCCTGGCGCAGCCACACACCTCAGCAGAATTGTACGAATGGAAGACACACACGTCCCCTCCTCCATGACTCCTGGTCCCCAAGTATTGCTGTGCTATTAAAGTGATTTCATTCTGCACCCGTGTTCCCCATGTCTCCCAAGGGCAGAGGGCGTCGGTGCAGAACAGACAACCCTCCCTGAGTGGAGCGGGCACCCACGTGTCCGGGCGAAGCCCACAGTGGCTGCTGCAGATGCAGCCACATTAGCACATGTGGGAATTTGCAGTGGCTTTGAGGAGACCTGACGGCACGTACTGGGCAGGGGCGGGTGGGAGCCAAAGACCTGTTGTCTCCTACCCCGAACTCAGTGCCACCACTGAATTCAGTTTGTCCCACTTGCTGACACAGGGGCTGGGAACCAGGCCGTTTACCCTGGCTCTTCCTCAGCCCTTTTTCAGGGGTCAGGTTGGGCTTCTGTGGCCCAGAGGACTGAGTCGGGCTGTGCTGGAGGGGAGGCTGGGGAAAGCAGAGGTCCCCCTTTGCTCCCTCCTCTCTCCCACCCCTCACCCCGCTCACTCCCCACCCGCCGCTGGGCCAGCTGCCCTTCTTGAATCCCTCCAGCTTTCAGGACCTCCGCCCCAGGCCAATGCTCCCTCCCCTGTTCCAGCTCTTTGCACCCTTGACATTGCCCATGAAGGTTGCTCTACAGGCTCCTTTTCATTGATCCACTAGAATTTATAATTTGAAAAAAAAAACCCCACCCAATAGCTATCATTCCAGCTCCATATACACCCTTCCCCTACCCTACTCCTATTTTATGGATAATAAACTTGTCTAAGGCTACACGGTGAATTACTGATGGAACCTGCAATGCTCCGGGGAATTAGCTCCTTGCCAGGCTGAGACATAAAGAAGTTGCCTGGTGGTCCCTGCACTTGCTGATCCCTCTGAACCTTGGGCTTGAGGCCCTGGCCTGCCCTGGGCTGCCCTGGCTGGGGACTACTCAAGTCTTGGTGTGGCCAGTAGCCACAGGGTGGGCAGAATTCGCTTTCCCAAGATTTGCTTTACTTAAAGCTGACTGTAGCACATCTCTCCTCTGGAGCGAAGGGACCCCTCCACAGTGCACCCCTCTCCTCTGGAGCGAAGGGACCCCTCCACAGTGCTCCCCTGCCCAGGGCACCTCATGGCATCTTTGCTCTCAGGTCCAGCCAGTCCCAGGGAGGATGGGAGAAATATTCTATGTTCATTCTTTGAACAAACAATAGCACAAACCCACCATTTCCCCCTTTGTCTCGGGTGTGAGGAGACAAAGGAAAGAATCCTGAGCCCTTAGCTAGATTTCCACCACGAGATGGAGTCACGTTAGCATGTACTGAATTTTTTCCCGGCATCTTCAAATTACTGCTAGTCCTGCAGATAATGAAATCAGAGGTCAAGCCAAAAGAGAAAAAAAAATATTGCCTCGCTAGTTTCTGCTGGGCTCTGGGTTCTGAAAGAATTCATTAAGCTGATCTGTTGGCATCTGCCTCCTGCTCTGAGTTGTGTTCTCTCAGAAAACAGGCTCAGGGGCTCCCAGAAGTGGCAGCGCCTGCCCCAGACCCCCCACTGTACCCAAGGCTCCCACTGGACAGACCCCCCTCACAGCCTCATCATCACCCCACCTCTCTGACCTACCACCACCCCTCACTCCAGCCTCATCGCCTTTCTTGCCATTCCTTGGAAACACTAAACTCACTCCCCCCTCAGGGCCTTTGCACCTGCTATATCCTCTGCCTGGCTCACTCTCCCTCCAAAAAGCATGGCTGGACCTCTCTGCTCCTTCAGGTCCAACATCACCTGCTCTGTCCCGAGCATCCTGTCTAAAAATCTCCTCCATTGTTCTCCACCGGTTTCCTTGCTTCGCTTTTCTTCTCAAGTTTCTCCTCGGAATTACATCATTTATCCATTGATTACCGGTTCTGTCTCGGGACCAGGATGTCATCTCTGCTGGGCATAGATTTTTGTCTGTTTTGTATATCACTATATTCTCAACACCTACTGCAATACTCAACACTTACATAGTAATCAAAAATTATTTGTTTAATTAACGAATCAATTAGTAAGGGAAAAATAGTCCTGGATCCATGCTCTTAGGCTACAGATTGGTTTCAGAAGCAGTTTGATGAAACCATTTGTTTGGAAAACCAGAGAGGTAAAGCTGGCTCAGCGACCCTTTGTTGGCTTTGCAAGAGAGGCATAAGGGTGAGCAACTGGAAGATGGACCATGCTTGTGCACACGCACACACACACACACACACACACACACACAAAATGGCCGAGAGCATGCATACTGTCCGTGGAGAGTGACAGGATACTTTAAAATACACACACACACACACACACACACACACACACGGCCAGCCCTTTTGGTTGTTGCTGCCATTATAATCCAGAAATAGAGTGACCTCAGAGAAGGGAAAGGAAGCATGTTGGTGGTTGTGTGGCATTGACTCAGAAGGTCAAGGGCATGGGAACACCCTAAATGGTTCACAGCAAGGGGACTGTTAGGGAAGAGCGGGCATCTGGTTGGTAAACTGTTAGTGAGCACGAGGACAGTGTAGGGATGTGGAAAAGGACCATGACCCATGTCAAGTATGAAGGTCCTCTGGTTACATTAAGTGTATTTTTAAAGGCAGTCATGTTAGGGTCAAAGGATCACAGGTACTTTTCCTTCTCTTCTCCAAATTCCCTGCACATTTCTGCCCAGATGATTTTGACAATCACTAAAGCTTTGTCACCTGTGGGAAGCCACCCACAGTGCCCACCATTTGGCTCTCCCCGCTAAGGCTGCAATGCTCCCAGAAGATGCCACCTCTGCTGGTGGAGGTGAGAGTATTCCAGCTGTGGTCCCCACCCCCAGCTTCAGGCCCAGTGTCCAGAGGGGCCACCAGTTCAGCTGCTGGGGTGGAACCATGGCATTATCCCCCTGCTTGAACATTCCTAAAGGATATTTTCACTGGATTTAGAAGTCTAAATATTGACTATTACGGTGCTTTTGTGCGCGTATGCTTTAAAAATTCTGTACCACTTCCCACGACCTCCATGGTTTCTGCTGAGAAATCTGCAGTCATCCCAATCACTGTTCTCTGGTAGAGAAAGTTATTTTTCTCTAGCTGCTTTCAAAATATTTTCCTTGCCTTTGGCTTTCAGTGGTTTTATTAGGATGTGTTTGGGAGTGGATTTCTTTCAGTGGATGTGTTGGGGATCTGTTCAGCTTCTTGAATCTATCAGTTTACATCTTTTACCAAACTTGGAAAATTATCCATCATTATTTCTTCAAATACAGTTTTCTAGCATCACGCTCTTTCTTCTCTCCTTCTGAATTCCAATGACTTGAATGTCAGACCTCTGGCTGTTGTCCCCCTTGATCTAGAAGCTTTGTTCCAATAGAAATGGAAAATTTCTACTTATCTGTCTTTTGTTTACTGACACGTTCTCTGCCCCATCCATTCTGATAATAAGCCCATCTAGTGAGTTTCTTAGTATCATTTTGGTATTTCTCAATTCCAAATTTTCCACACACATCTTCCACTTCTTGGCTGAGGGTTTCTATTTAACATTTGTTTCAGGGGTGTTTGCAATTGCTTATTTTAGTGCCTTTATAAGAGCTGCTTTGTAGTCTTTGATGATTCTAACATCTACAAAACCACGCCATTGGTGTCTGTGGGTTATCTTTCCAAGGAAAATTGAATTTTTCATGATTCTTTGTATGCACAGCAATTTTTTAATTTTACCCTGAACAATTTGAGTATTACATCATGAGAATCTGGTCCTTGTGTAAATCTTATGAATGATGTTAACATTTTTGTTTGGCAGGCAATCAGCCTGGTTAGCTTCAGTCTGTAAGTTCCAGCCTACCTTCTCTGGGCAGTGATTCCGATGATAGTTCAGTTTTCTCTTTCTTCCTTTCTTTCTTTCTTTCTTTCTTTCTTTCTTTCTTTCTTTCTTTCTTTCTTTCTTTCTTTCTTTCTTTCTTTCCTTCTTTCCTTCCTTCCTTCCTTCCTTCCTTCCTTCCTTCCTTCCTTCCTTTCTTCCTTTTCTTTCTTTCTTCCTTCCTTCCTTCCTCTGTCTCCCCCTTCCTCCCTCCCTCTCTTTCTTCCTATTTCTTCCTTTTGACAATTCAGTTTTCAAAGACGTACACTGCGTGCTGGTTCCATTTTATTCAACATCATGTTGTTATAACACTGATGAAGAAAAAAGATCACTTCCCAGCGGGGGCCCCTGCCTCTGTGGGGTTGCACGTTCTGCCCGTGTCTGTGTGTGTGTGTTTTCTGCAGGTATTTGGGTTTCCTTCCCCATCCCAAAGATGGGCCCATTCTGTGAGCTTCCACATTGACACCGTCCCAGTCTGCGTGAGTGGGGTGCGGGTGTGAGTGGCCCTGTGATAGAAGGACATCCCATCCAGGGTGGGTTTCCGCCTTGGGACTGGAGCTGCCAGGATAGGCTCTAGCCACGGTGACCATGAACTGGAATAAGCAGATTGGAAATCAATCATCTTACCTGTTTTCATGAATCTTTCTTCAATGTATATAGAGTTCACATTTATTTCAATGTTTAGTATTAGAAGTGTTTGGGGTCTTTATTTAGAAGTTTGGCGATATTTTTGAGACCAGAAATCTGCTGCGAGAACCAACTCTTGTATATATCAATTAGCCTGTGGTCAAATTGGTTTCTGTATGTATCTTTGTGCTAAAAGTTGTAGTTTCCAGGAACCTATCGACAGTGTTAAGTGAGGACTTACTGCAGCCAGAGCTCTGACAGGTAATACACAGAGGCCGGGAGAGAGCAGAGCAGCAGAGCTGGCTGAATTAAGGGGCAGGTCAGCCAGGTAACTGCCAGGGAGCCAGTCTCTAAATGACACCTAATCACCACGTGAGAACCCAGGTGTTAGTGTAGTTCTTAGTGGCTTATGCACTGGGAGAAATGGAAGTTGGTTCCCCTTGCAGAAGACAACAGCGCCCTCAAGTGGACAGCCTCTCTGGGTGCACCTGCACCCACATCCAGTGATCCCGGCTCATTTCTCCTCGCCAACCTGCTGGTTATCCAACCCAATCAGCCGAAAACTTAAACCAGAAAATTAAGGGCACGGGACTGTTTTCC